GAGTGCACTATTAGTATAACAATGGTATTCTTTGGAATCGTATTGCTAGTATAATAGCATAAATTTCTAAGACCATTGCTACTGATGAAATAGTAACCGTAACTTATTGAGAAGACACTTCTACCTAGTTTTGTTTGAACTTTTGTTTCTATCTTAAACTCATTTTAAATATAATTTTTTGATTATATGAAAATTTGTTATAAGAAGTTTAATTTAGTTTTTGATGTCATTCGACACCTATTTTATTTAAATAAAATGTTAACTTGACATGCTTAACCCAACTAAGGGGAAATTTTATTATTGCTTACTAAGTTGTCATACTCATAAAATCTCAACATTTTAAGCGTTGATACTAGAGATGACAACAAGGATCTAGGCAAGTGATGTACTAGTTGACTAGTATATATATTATTGGAATTAATGTTAAGTTTCAAATTTAGACATGATTGGCTAGAAGATTTTTAAATTATTGAATAGCTTGATATAGTTGAGTTTTGAATTTTAGATCTTGGATTGATTATATTTTATTTTATATTTAATATGAGGATTTTAACTGAACTTTAATTAGTTCTAAATTTTCCATAATCAATTAAATAGTTCTATGTCTTGTGCATCTGTGGTTCCCACTCATATGTGTACGGCATCTATTCCACTCCAGAGTTTGGGGAGTGATAGATTGTATGGTGTTAGAGCCTAATCTAACAAAATCCCTAGGACTAGATAAAACTTGACTAGAAATGGATTTAGAACGTGGTGAGATGAGCATGGGGTATTACTTGTGACATTTACTTGATTCTTGAACTTCATTGAACTCTTGTTCTGAAAACTTGATCCCTCTTGATAATCTACACGTGTTGGGATTCGTTACTTGAATATACATTATTGGTGTAATTCTTAACACTCGTTGGAATTGCTTGTTGGATTCTTGAATCCATTTTGAAGTCCTTTCTTGAGATTGCTCTACTACTTGTTCTTGAGTATTGATACTTAAATATGAATTATGGTTGGTGGAACCTTATTATCTTAATACTTGCTTAAAAATGCTTCTTGCATTATGCTTGAAATTACTTATTGAATTTTGCCCATAATCAAACCTCAACTCATAACACATTATGAAATTTTTTTGCACAACATTTTGCTCACCCTTAATTGCTTTGGGTTCATATTGCTCAAATTCAGTTGTTGTTCTTATTGCAGCCTTCCACATTATTTTGTTCTATCCCTTTTTCTTTTTGTGTTATCTTGAGACTCCAATAGCCTAATGGTTGTTGATAGTTCCATGGTTATTTTCTTTAAGTTCTAGCTTATATTCTACTTTTAAGTTTGGTTTTAACTTGAGATCAAAGTGTGTAACAAAAGCATAGTGAGCCCATAACACAAGGGCCTAAGATCTTTCCTATGATGAATGTTCAATTCATATTGCAAATCAAGAGTAAATGTCTGCTACTCTTTAATGACCCCAAGCTTGACTTTAAAGGACTAAACTCTTTTTAAGGAAAGGAGGATGTAATACCCTAAATTTTTTTTGTACTTTATTTATTATTTTTATCATGGGTTAAGGGTTTGATTAGGATAAACAAGCATTTTAGGGATTTAGTTATGTAAGTGACATTTTTTAATATAATTGAAACGAGAATCTTTGAGAGAACTTAGAGTTCAAATTATGTAAAAGTTGAGGATTGTAGCAAGACTTTTATCCTAACTATACAAGGGCTTGCCTTACCTTGATCTAATAAAGACTAGAAAAAAAAAAGAAGAAGCAAAAACAAAAGGAATAGGAAGGGAACCATGCAATAATTACATCTTTAGATTTAGCTTCTTCTTTGATACCAATTGAAATGACTTATGCCAAAATTTGTCACTGGCATAACAACTCTTTGAACCAAGGTGTACGCTCCCTCGAAAGCTCAAACTCAAGTTGTTAGTAGTGGTTAATCTCCACACTTATATACTAGACTCACTCATAATTTCTCTCCAATGTGGGATTCAGAGCATTACAATATGGTTTTCTTAAGAGCAACATTCTTTACACCTAGTTTTCTAAAGTCCCTAAAAAGTTCAACAAATGTATCTTGCAATTCTTTAAATGAATTATACTCATTATTAGCGAAAGAGTAGGAGCCTACCTCTTGTGACTCACTGTCAATGGCCATGAGGCATAGGCTAGCCACATCATCGTCATTTGATTCTTCCCTTAAGTTGTCATCACTCTTTGTGGGCAACAAAGCCTTCTTGTGTTTCTTTTCTTTTGCTTTGAGCTTTTTCTCAACCTTGAAAGGACAATCGAATTTTATGTGTCCTGATTTCTTGCATTTAAAGCATATTATTTCATTCATCTTGCTTGATTCTCCCTTGCTTCTTCTTAGGAGCACCTTATTTATTTAAGCCTTCCTTTTCAAAAGTTCTTGAACTTTTTAGTAATCATAGTGATGTCTTTATCTAAATCACTTTCTTCTTCACTCTCATTTCCCTAAATTGCCTTGAGTGCTATCAACTTCTTCTTATGGTGTTCATCCTCACTTTCATATTCCTTCAAAACCATTTCATGTGTGAAGAGTTTTCCTTGGAGGATTTCAATTGTCATTCTACTCAAGTCATGAGCTTCCTTGATTGTTGTGCAGACATTGCTTCAAGTTTTGGAAAGAGATCTTAAGATTTTTCTTTCTCTTCTTTCGAATATACCTTGTTAAAAAAGCAAACTCGTTAGTGATCTTAATAAATTGCTGAACAAGTCTATTCATCTTGCTTTTGCACACTTCATTAACGTCCTCATGAGCAACTTCTAACTTGTTCTATATTTCTTTAGCACTCATACATGCACTAATGTGATCAAATTTAGATGGATCTAATGCACAACATAAGGTATTTATGGCTTTAATAATAAATTGCATTTTTTAATTAGTTTTGTCAAATTCTTCTAGGCTCTAAGGGACCATCTCTTTTGACTCCTCACTCTTTTTCTTCATTGGAACAAAGGGACCATTGCAAATCACCTCCCAAAGGGCATAGTCCATGCCTTACAAAGAAACCCTTCATCATAATCTTCCAATAGGTGCAATTTGTTAAATTGAAGAGAGGAGGAGGAGAGATAAATTGTCTTTCAAATAACAGAAAGTTTTGAGTTATTGTGGATCTTAATTCAAAAAGATTTTAATATTAGAAATCAAAAACTTGAGTTGAGACTCTAACATCAATTGTTGGCCCAAAAGATGGTAATCCAAGAGAGGGGTGAATTGGGTTCTTGAAAACTTGTGCAACTTTTGTGTTTAAAATGATGAACAAGCAAATGTAAACACACACAAGTAAACTAAAATGCAAAAAGTTAAAAAGTAGGGAAGAAAAAAAATTCAAATATAGTGATTTATAATGATTTGGTTACAATTTGTATTTAGTTCATTCCTTAAGCCTCTTTCTTGAGAGTTAGGTATAAATTCAATGTGATTGATGTTAGTGATTTATATTAAAGTCAATACTTTTAAAAATTAAAATTATGGTCAATCATATTAAATTTATGTGACACGTGTCCTGATCATATGGAGAGCGTCCAAAGGAGAATATTAGAGAGTATTCTTAGCATTCCTCAAACTAAAAGCCAAATACCATAACCACACTAAATGGAGTCTAAATTTTTTACTTATTTTTGCTTATTTTTAAAGAGTAAAATATGTGAGAACATATATTGACTACAAGTTACTCCCTCCATCTAAGAATAATAAATATTTTTTTATTTTAGAATTTATCCTAAATTAATTGTCATTTCTTTTCATGTTTTAAAGAAGATAAATATATTTTTCTTGCTTTAATCTAATTGGTAACTATTGACTTTAATTATCTATTCTATCATAAAAAATTCTCTCTTTTCTATTTTTTTAAGGGTAATATAGGTAAAAGTATTCTATAAATTCTTAATCTAAAAATAAAATAAAATATCTATTATTACTAGATAGGAGTACTTTTAATATATAAAATAAGTTTATTTTAAAAAACTATTATTGTGGGCAGAGTACACCTTTCATTATTTCTTATTCCTTTCATTCAAGTTTAATAGTTTTAATTTGATTTTTCAACTTTTTAAATATAAAATTTAAATAAAAATTTAACAACTTATATAAACAACAATTAATTTTTTTTTCATATATGCAATTCTTTTTGAGTTTTTTTATTTGATAAAAAAATTTTCGATTATCATTTATAAAATATGTTAAATGTTCATATAAAATTTATATCCAAAAAATCAAACTAAAACTACTAAAATTGAATGAAGATAATAACCTTTTACATTAATTTAGAATTTTGAAACAGTTTTTATTTTTATTTATATTATCATTAAAAAAAAGATACAATATAATAGTAATAAAATATAAAAGATTTTGATGATATGATAAAAAAACTAAAATTAAGTTATAATAATAGAGTTAGAGTATAAAAAATATTTCCTTTTTAAAAATTTAAAAAAGATGATTAATATAGGATAACATTTTTTATATAGAGTACCAAAGAGTATTCAATTATATTATATATAATATTGACATCACGACCAAGTACAATACAAAACTCAAAAAATTTTGAAAAAGAATTCACAATTAGTGAGAGTTGAAACCATAATCCTAAAGTTTTGATGTCACGCCCTAGAACCCAAATCCGGGGTCGTGGCATATGCCGTGCACTCGTGAGCGGAGCCCACAAATGCACAAGGCTCGAGACCTACTGAGTTCTTACTTAGCAATTCAAATTTAAACCTTTTAATCTACCAAATAGTTACTAGTCGAATGTACAAAATTTATCACTTCATATATACAATCATGACTAACACTAAATTCTGTACACAAAATTTTCTATGTCAAGCATGGATGACTAACGGCTTAGCTACAAAAACCTAAGTCCAAAAGTGCTTAGCCGTCTAGCTCGTCACTCCCCCAGGCTTCCCATGCGTCGGGTCTCACTACCTGAAATGGTGGACAAGGAAACCGTGAGATAGAAATATCTCAATAAGTAAACATGGGGGCCCGACATCAAAGTTTAAAGCATGCCAAATAATCAGTTGAAACATGAACAGAGCGTTTCAAGAACAGAGCGTTTTAATAACAAATCATCAATGCAAAATAAAATCACGTAGTGGTCTCCTCTATTAGTCATAGCCAGTGTTATAAACCTCCCACTGGCAGGCACACGAGTACTAGTGTATAATCCCCACTAGTAAGGCCACGAGTGAACCGGTTCTATCACGAACATGTCGACATGTGCTAGCGTTTGTGTAATATCCCAAAATTTTGGGGTATTTTAGCATTAAATTGGGGACTTATTTGAGGAAAAATATTGTTTTGGGGCTTAATCGTAAAATTTTTAAAAGTTGAGGGACTAAAAAGAAAGGAAATTAGGATAAGGATCAAGGCTGATATTTCTCTCCTCAGCCACGTGTTTTGCTCATCCTCATCTTCTTCTTCTCCCCGATGCTCTGCCCC